GCCAAGGCTGCTGCTTCTTGGACTTTCAAAGATGTCCTGACCAGTTCTGACCAGTTTGTCCCTACCCTTAATCCAGTTTCTTACTCCTGTCTGCTCAACCGCAGCTTTACTGTGTACCGCTCCTCCTTTGCCCAGTAGTCCCTGCTCCTACATATCCCACCACAATGCAAATAAAATTTCCTGGAACTAACCTGATGTTTGCTACTGTCCTGTTTGCTTGGCTTGTTTGTTCTCCCCTTTCCTTACCCCGTCTGTTTCTGTCTTATCTGTTTGGACTAGAAGGTCCTCGCAGCAGGGCCCAGCCCTGACTCTGATGTTTGTCTTGGAGCAAGGAGGATGGCTCCCCATGGCTTGGTGGCCTCATGCTTTAGTATTTGTTAGTTGGTTCCAGCGTTGTCCTTAGCCTGCACCTCTGACAGCTACAAAGCATTTAAACTCCAGTTGTGTTGTCTATTTTAAAAGTTTAGCATGCTCCACTACCATCATTTTCCTAAAACTTTCCACTTCCTTTTTTCTCAGACTCAGCCACAAGGTTCAGCATTACATCTTTCCCGGGAAGCGAGCTGTTAAGATAAGGAAGGCTGGTTTTATATCTGTCTTTCTGAAGCTTAATGATTGCAGTTGGGGAGTGCCCGCTACGGGCAACTTTCCCAGTAGTCTCCCCCCGTTTGTGTGCAAGTCTGCCATCTGAGAGGCTGTTTTCCTGCTGCTGTCACTTGGCAGCCTGTGGATTAAGGACAGACTTGTTGCTCCTCTGTACAGGTCTTTACCTCAGCACTCGGAGAGATGCTGTGAACAGTCAGCTACCATTCCTGCCCTTAATCCTGTGTGTGTTGTGTGGGGCTGTGGATGGTGAGCATTTCTGTACATCATTTGGTTTTTTTGGCATAGGTAGTGTTTTCTGTTGAGAAAGGAGGCTACAGGGTTTTCTTGCCAACTGTCCTACTTCTAATTTGCAGGCAAGCAGCCAACCCATCCTATGTCTGACAAGACAAAACTTGAGGATATCAGGGGATATCAGACCCTGAGCTGGTCAGGAGAGTGTCGTTTTACTAGCTGTCCCCCTCCAGTGACCTTGGTTTTCTCATGAGCAGCGGTGCAGCTTTCTGCGTTGGTTGGAGGTGCTGCAGAGGTCACCCAGAAGGATACTGGAGATGCAAGGCTGAGCAGGGAGAGGGAGGTGTTGCTCAGGCAGTAGCAGCAGACTGCTCGTGACAGGCCAGGTCCCTCTTGGAGGAACCTTTAAGAGAAGTGTGAGTCGCAGGTAGTGTACAGGGCAGCAAACCAGCAGCATCCAGAGGACAGAGTACCCTGACAGGCCAGGACAGCACAGCTGATGGCCACGTCCAGCATCTTCTCCTTTTGTGCTCTTCCTAGAAAACGCAATAGAGCAAGGGCTGTCCTTGAGCTCTTCCTCGAGTCAGCACCAATTGCCAGAGACTCTCATGAGGCTCCCCTAGTCTGTCTGTCCTGTCTTCCTCCTTGTGTGTGCTGCTGCCTGCGCTGCTGCTGCCTTTCTTACAGCCCTGTTCTTTTGATGCGAGAGTTTTCCTTCCTTATCACATCATCCATGTACGCCTCTGTTCTCTCTCTGTGGTAATTATCCAGCCCGGCCCCTCGGGTATCCGAATACCTCACACTCTTCTGTAGTTATCCTTGCAGCACAGTTGGGCAGAGGAAGCTGAGGCACAGTGGAACAAATACACATTGCTTAAGGATTGATTTTAATAGGTGTCCAGGGCCTAAATAATGCTGTGTAGCAGGGCCTAAGGGACTTCTCACCTAGGAAGTGTTTTGTGGAAGGAATTGAACCTCAGTTTCCTGAGACCTATGCTAAGGTCCCCTAGACCATCTTTGTTTCATCTGTATTTACTGATACTTCTTTGTACAAGAGCACTGGAGGGACATTTTTAAGTATATCTTGGTGTTTCCTGTGGTCATAACCTATTATTTCTGTTCTATCCTTTGGAAGCTTAATAAGGGATGGCTTTTGCCACAGTAAATGTGTTTGAGTTTTAACAAGATAATGAATGAAAATGGAAGTCAGTATTCTCAGGTGCAAGCTCCCAAGTCACACCTGAGTTAGGTGACTGTCTGTGCCCTGGGGATGCGGGGGGCACCCTGTGACCGGGGTATGGAGCGTCCAGCCAGGAGGAGTAAATCAGGCTGTGCCGTTTCCTGCAGACACAGCTCTCACCTTAGCCTAGCGTGCCGATGCACGCGTCGTCAGTGCCCTCTGTTGGGTGGCAGGGACCTGTTGTGCTCGCCGGTGGTGTAGGCACTGTCCCACACTACAAAATTATTTAACATCTGTTGTAGTGTTTTTTGTGGGTTTTTTTCTCCCTTCTAGTTAAACCCTCTGTTCCGGAAAGTACCCAGAGCCCTGCAGTGGTGTCCCCAACCAAGGTATGGCTGGAAACCAAGTGTAAGGGGAGCAGGCTGGGGTTGTTGGGTGTCCTGCTGGAATGCTTACCCAGGTATATCTCAGTTTGTCTTACTGGGAGGGTTTATCTGAATTCTCAGGGAAAGGGTGAAAGGCTCTGGGGCAGAGACAAGATGGAGAGACTGCCGGTTATCTCCCATGCAGGGGGACAATAGAGGCTGGAATAAGACAGAGCCAAACAAAATTCTTGTAGACGTAGCCTTCCCCAAGAAAGGAGGGGGAATGTCTGTGGATTAATGAGTGTGGGTAGATGTTATCACTCACAGCGAACCTATCACAGCACTGTAACATTGCAGTGGCCATCACTCTGTTGTGAGCAGCCAGCTCTGCATCTCTGCTGACTTGGCCCTTCCAGGACATGGCTTTACAGTTGGGGTCCTTGTGTCATTTCCCATCTCTGTTGGGGCTGTGACCTCAGCAGGCAGTCTGAGGGTACTAAGATGTATTTATTCCTACATTTGTTTTCCTAGCTACACCCAGACTACCTCCCCGAGGAGGAAATCCAGGAGAAGGTGCGTGACATCGAGAAGCAGCTGGATGAGCTGGAATTGAAAGGAGTGGATCTGGAGAAGCAGCTGCGTGGCTGCGAGGGAGGTAAAGACAACCAGGGGCCAGCTCTGTTATGGTGGGAAGGTGTAAGGCTCATGTCCTACCCCTGGGTGTTCCTGGCTCCATTTCCAGGAGCTCATGCTACACATGAGACACGAGATTGTCAAAGGTACCTAAAGCCCTAGGAATTTTGAACCATCTCTGGCTGTATTGTAACTTATTGAGCAAGGTCTTGTGGTCATTTGGCTGAAGATCAGGGAGTTTTGAGAGTGGAAGGCTGCTGTTGATCTGGCTTTTGGATCCTAAACCAGACTGGCTGTCATGGCTGGCTCCAATTTCACAGGGCTTAGTGAGTTTGTTCAGAATGGCAGAGTTGGGCCGACCGCATGGAAGATGAGCTGGGTGCCCTGTGGCAGAGTATCTGTGAGCAGCTTCGTTGAGTCTGCAGGGAGCAATCTGCACCCTTTCCCTTGTACCCAGGAGTACCAAAGATGAGCTGTTTTCACTTGAGGTTGCCTATGGCTCATATAAGTTATCCTAGGCCCTCCCTCAGGTGATTGTGTGTTTAAAGCCAGGGAGACTGAACTGGTGCAGCTTCTGGAGGAGTCTTGCCCTTTGTCTTCTTTGCAGATGAATCTGAGGATGCCCTCATGGTGGATTGGTTCAAACTGATCCATGAGAAACAGCTGCTGCTCAGACAGGAATCGGAGCTGATGTACAAGTAAGTACAACCAGAAATTCATCTGTCTGCTTGTGCACTTCACCTGTGAGCAGTAAGCAGGGAAAGATAGGGAACATGGCAACTCAAAAAATAATGTGCCAGTTGGTAGGATGAGGGGTGGGCTTGAAGACATCTCTGGGAGAACTGCCAGCATCCTGAGGTATTAGCTGATGGGCCTTTGAGCACTGATGAGCACCCAAGGTCTGTGATGAGTTTGTGGGGAGGGAAACCTCACAAATGTAATGGAGGAAGATTTCCCTCAATCCATCAGCCCCTACCCAGATGGTTCGCAATGCAGGGACGAGGCTTTAGCATGATATGAAAAGGGTCCAGCCCTGGGGCATGGCGGTAACTCATCGCTTCTGTGGTTCCTTCCAGGATGAAACAGCAGAAGCTGGAGGAGCAGCAGTGGAACATTGAGACAGAGCTGCGACACCTCATGAGCAAGCCAGGTAAGGACCAGCTGCACTGAGTCCTGCTGGCCGCTGGCTGTGCGGAGCCATTGTAACATCTGACCCACCTGCACTTTCTGAGGGCATGTAAGATGTGCCGCTGAGCGTGAGGATAATAAAATCTGGGCCTGTGAGAGGGACCTGCTGGAGCAGGGTGGAGGCAGGAGCCACAGCGGCGGGGGACTCGCCCGGAGCTGTGGGATGGGGTT